ATGTTTATTTTTTATTTGTAGCAGGTTTGCTGCAGACACGAATTCATGTCTCTTTAAATAAATAATTAGAAAATCGTACTAATCCCAACTCTTGAACTTTAACCCATTACTGTCAGATACCCAGATGTCTAAAAGAAAAGTATGTTGTAGATTTTAACCTCACATTTATTTAAAACCAGCAAACGTAATGAAAAATTTAAATTTACTGATGCACTGACAATTCACATTATATATATTACTGGGAATATACATCGGATCCCAAATTATGGATATCGATAAATTAATTCAAAGGATATACATTTTCCACAGTTTTTAATCTACTTTAGTCTTTTTACTATAATTCAAAATCAAACATATTTCATGGAATTGAGTTGATCTAATGTTTTAAAGTATTTACATTCATTACTCGTTTAAAATAAAAGCATTGACTTTATGTAGATTTTCTTCATTTCTACTTACCTGCTCCAGTTTTAATTCTTGACCTTGTTTTGCATTAATTTGTGCTGATATGAGTGCAGATAAAGCCAGTCGCTGTGGTGAGGACAGGACACGTAATATGGGCATTACTTCTACAAACTTCTGCCTTAAACCAGCGTTTGTTAATGCTTTTGATAAAGCCATTTTCAGTATTTTTTCACGCCAATCAAACAGATTCACTTGATTATCCTCATCATCGAAATCATCAAAAGTAATATAATTACTTTGCAGCTTCTTATCACTCGTTGTTGTCATCTCGTTGCTGGCATTTTCATTATTATAATTCCAGTCGATTTCTTTTAAGTCGGAAAAATCAAAATCCATAACATCATCTTCAGATGCTGTCACCAAGTAAAGAACGCAATACAAAACTGCCCAAAATAGGCAACGTATGGACTGACCAGCTTTCATCTTCGCTGCGAAATCTGCAAAAAGAAAGCAAATCATTAGACGGCCCGCTTAAACAAGATTTACAGATATTTATTCTAAGTGTAAAACCAGCGCCAAAACAGACGCACAGTCGCAAAAATAAAAAAAAAACTCGAAAAACATGTCATTTGTGAAATGCTTTGAATAAAAAAGTGCCTGAAGAAAGCAACTTATCGCTTTTTAATTGTCATTAAGTACATTTTACTTTCTTACATTCTGTGCACTTCATTATTTGTCAAGATTAAAACAAAAGTAAAAGTCATTCGAATAATAACATTTTAATGTGCCCGTTTAAGTCAACTTCAAACTCAACTTAAAGACTCCAAATACCCAACAAACCGTGAAAATGAAGTAAAGTTACTCAAAACGAATACTTCGAAGAAAAAATAGAAGAAAATCGTTATAGGAAACAATTTTATAATGACTGATCTCCGCAAGACCTTGTGTCTTGTGCACTTCAGGAGACAAGGTAAACAAACTTTTACCGCACGAAGATATGGAGAAAATAAAATTAACTAAGTTTATTAGACATGTTTATGCAATAAAAATCGCCCAGTTTGCTACTGTGAAGTCATGAGCTCCCAGTATCTTCAACAAAAAATTTATAAACTATTTTTATTACGTTAGTTATTATTTATTATGGCATACGTTTTACATGGCGACTAACGACGTCATAAAACTGAAACAATAACTTCATTGAAGGATCGACTAGGATAGTCGAATTCAAAAAGAAAAAAATTATTTAATAGGAAATATTTAAAGAAATCGTTTGGTTACAACATAAATATTTTTATTACATCACATAAATGAGATAATAAAAATGTTCGAGTTTTATTAAAAATTTCATTACCAAGGAATATATATATGCCTATAGATATTAAATGATTGAAATATCACAGTGGCATTTAAATACTTATGAAAGTGATCGTATCTGGCATTGTTATTGTGAACAGCCTAGATATACATATATACAGGGTTAAGCCATTCAAAGGTTACCAACTACACACAGGTATATCTGTCAAACTGATATTGCCAATGACAGCTGTTTATATTGTTTATATATTGTTTATAAAACAAAAGTTATTCGAAATAGAATTCAAATGTAATAGTATGATTGCTTTATATTTGGCTGGAAAATCACAACTAGTTATTATTCATGAGCTCAAACACCTCAAAGTAAATAAAATATTTACGTATCGTACGATAAATCGTTATAATAGCAAAGACAGAGATGCCAAACACTATATGGTAATGGTGGACAAACGAAAAACAACAATATCATCTGAAATGGTTCGGAAAGTGAGCGCTTCACGTAAACATATTTCACGTCGTAATGGTAATCAAATATCTAAAGAACTATAAAAAATAGCCCAGCGAAGTATACCAAGCATATTTTAAAATAAGCTTAAGGTAAATCCTTACAAATCCCAAAAAAAAACAAACTTGTGGATCCAAGCAACAAAAAGTT